GTCTGATCATTACACCTCTGGTTGATTGTACATGCCGTACCAAATCCGAACACACGGGGGGGAAGAGAGAGAGATAGTGAGTGCTACCAAGCATCGACAACACTAAAGCCTGCAATCTTTCTCAACCCTTTCTCCTTGATCCTCGACCTAATCTCTACTACATCTCCCGATCTTCTCTCAGCTGCATATATATTCGAAAGCGATATGTAATAGCCAACATTTTCAGGCTCCAAGCCAAATACCCCCTCGGCAGCAAACCTTCCAATCTCAAGATCACCATTGTCTTTGCACCCACTTAACAAAGCACCCCAAACCCCTGCTTTAGGCTCCCTAGGTATTGCCTTAATAACTCACAAGCCTCTTTAAGCCTACCGGCCCGACTAAGTGAGTCCACTATACACACGTAATGCTCAGTACTTGGGCTCACTCCGAAGCCCTTAAACATTAAATCAAAATGAGCCAAGCCCTCATCTACCAAGCCTGAATGGCTGCAAGCCCTGAGAACACTGATGAAAGTGCTTTCATTTGGCTTCACCCCTAAAGAAAGCATCTCTGAGAATAGAGAGAATGCTTCTTTTCCATAACCATGAAGCCCGTAAGCCCCAATCATTGCATTCAAACACACGATGCTTCTCTCTCTAACATCTTTGAATATCTGAATTGCTTCTTCTAACCTTCCACATTTGGCGTACATATCTATGAGGGCAGTGCATATGAAAGCATTTTGTTCAAACCCATTTTGAGTAATATGATCATGTATGTGCTCCCCTAGTTTGAAGTCTCCTAGTTGAGCACATGCTGATAAAACACTAGCCAGGGTCATCTCATTTGGCTCGAAATCCATTTGATAAAAGAGTTCTCTGGCTTTATGGGGTTGTTTGTTCTGTGCATAACCAGATATCATTGAATTCCATGAGCATAGATTTCTTTGATTAGGGATACTACAAAATATAAGCTCTGCACTTTTGATATCCTTGCATTTGCAGTACATAGATAGTAATGCATTGATTAGATGGAGATTGAATTCCAGTTCAATTTTTAGTACATATCCATGAACCCATATGCCTCGGTTTAGAAGTTTGAGCTCACCACAAGAACTAGAAACACTCACAAGGGTAATAGGGTCTGGATTTATAGGTACAAGAAGCATTTGGTCAAAGGTTTCCAAGGCTTTTCGGCAAAATCCAATTTGTGCACATCCAACTATAACTGTGTTCCATGAAACCACATCTTGCACAGAAATGTCCTCGAACACTGACAGCCTAGATTCTAAATCTCCACAGTTTATGTACATGAAGATGGTGGCATTTTGGGCAGCTACATTTTTTGAAAAACCCGATTTGATTTCCCAAGAGTGGATTAATCTCCCAAATGCAAGTGACTCTAAACAGTCACAACAGGAAAGAACACCTATTAAAGTAGCTAGGTTACATCTCTGACTAGAATTCAGCAAATCTCGAAAAAGAATCACGGAATCTCTTGAAAAGCCATTATCTGAATATCCCCCAATCATGGTGTTCCATGTGATCAAATCTCTCGCATCCATCTTTTCAAGAAGCAACATTGCAGAACTTATATCAAAGCATTTTGTGTACATGTCTATCAAACTGTTAATCACAGTCAAATCCAAACCCAATTCTCTTCGAATCACAAATCCATGTATAAACTGGCCATCCTCCAACAATTTTGATTTTGAGCAATGTGAAATTAGAGTCACCACAGTAACCGAATCAGGCTTGAGACCATCTGATTCCATCTGATTCCATCTCCTCCAAAAGGCCAAAAGCTTCTGAAACTCTGTCATTCTCTATGAAAGCATTGATCATTGAATTCCAAGAGACCAAGTCCCTAGAAACCAATCTTTCAAAGACCTTACAAGCAAATTCAATATCATTGATTTTTGAGTAAAATGAAATGAGCGAATTACACATAGAAATATGAGCATTCCCAAACCCTCTTTTGAATCCCCAACAATGAATAGACTTTCCAATGTTTGGGTTCCCTAAATCATGGCAGGCTGAAATTATGACCGATAGAGTTATTGAATCTGGCAGGGCATTGGATAACACTATTTTTCTGAAATACCCAAGGGAATTTTCAGGCTTTTGGCAATGCAAACACCCCCAAATCATCGTATTCCAAGCTTCAGTTTCTCTGAAATGCAATCTCTCAAAAATAGTCTTTGCACTCCTCAAATCCCTGCACTTTGCATACAAATCAATGAGGGCATTTTCCACTGAAAACTCGGAGTCTGATCCATGCCTTAAACTAAACCTAGGAATGAACATACCCAAAGTCATAAGTCCCAAATGGGATAATGCAGGGAGAACAATTACCAAAGCAACGGAATCAATCCCCACATTGTCCATTTGCATTTGCCTGAACAAATCCAAGGCCTCTTCATAACACGCATTCCTTCGTAAACCAGCAACCATTGAGTTCCAAGCCACCAAATCTTTGAAAGGAAGGCTTTTAAAGAGAAACCAAGAAGAACCCAATTCACCTACATTCGTGTACATGGTGAAGAGAGAAGTTGCAGAGGAAACATGAGATAGACATCCACTCTTCTCAGCCAGGCAATGAAGACACTTGCCTTGTTGTAGAGAGAGATTCGACCGAATGGCTGAAAGGGCAATGAGGAACGTGGTTGAATCTGGTTTGATGCCCGATTGCCTCATGAGGTTTATAGAGAGAAAAGTTTTGTTGGGGCAACGAGTATAAGCACAAAGGAGCACGTTCCATGAGCTTAAGTCTGGATGGGTTATTTCGTCGAACAGTTGTTGGGCTTCTGGAGAGAGAAAGCATCTGGCATAGAAGTGGAGGACAGAGGTTTGGAGAAAGGGGTCGTTGGGGTGGAGAACGAGCTTGATGCAGTGGGAATGGAGGGCTCAGCCTTCCGGCACGGCTAAGAGGGAGGCGCAGGCCCTGGCCATTAGAGAGAGAAAGCGGGCTTGGGGTGAGAGTAGGCCTAGTCTGGGCATGGATCATGGCTACTCTATCTCTATATATCGAGTGAAGTTAAAAATCAAACTCAAAAACCAATGGCTCCGGCCTTTCCCCTTCCACTCACAAAAGTTTGGCACGGCATGTACAATCTCTTCCCCTCTCTCTCTCTC